TAATAATAATATATTAATCTATAATGATAGAAACCATAATGGGGTTAACTGGACATGGGGGATAGTGACAGGGAGTGTGCATAAGAAAGCTTCTAAACTGCTGGAAATGTCCTTGACCTTGGTCTTGATCTTGTGGCTCCATGGGGAGAACATCTTATGAACCAGGTGGTGTCCCAAGTATTTATGTAATCCTCACCAATCCTGGGAGAGAAATAGTCATGCCGAATACATTGTGCAGACAGGAAATGGAGGCACAGAGCAATTAAGTGATCAGCTAAAAGCCACCCATAAGGAAGTGGTGAAGCTGGAATTTGAACCTAGACAGATAGTCTCCAGATCCCAGGCTTCTCAAAAGCACCTAGAATCCAGAGGAAAGCATTCCAAGCCCTTCCAGACCTGGTGGACCTTGGCTGCTGCCCAGGCCTCTCCCTGCGCCCAGCCTCTCAGCCTTTACACGGTCTGTTCCCTTTCTCCGGGATGCCCTCCCTGAACCCTCTCGCCTGGGAGGAGAGCTGTTGCAGTGTAGTAGATTGTAGGTAAATTATCCTGCAGGTATAGTTACCATCTTCAGCGGAGGCTTTCTGTGAGCCCCTATACATATGTAAAAAGTCATTGAGATTCCCAGGTGTATAGTAGAGATGACAAGGGGACAAGGTTGTAATCACTTCCTGGTCAAAGCCAGCTACCCAGAGGGATCAAATAGTTGAACCTGTGGGCTCAGGACCATAGTTGCAGAGGACATCAAGCTTAATTGGCATAACATACTACACAAAATATTGTTCCACCTCTACTTAGGTGAGTAGTGACTGGGATCTTAAAAGCTTGCAAGCAGCCGTCTACATGCAACGATGGGTCTCTCAGCCAGAGCAAAGAAGAATGAGGAAAACCAAAGATTTGTGGAAACAGTTTGTCCAAGCGACTGATACACCATGCAATCTGCAGCCTATGTGACTATGAGACCAGAAGAACTCAAAGGGGGGCCTATGTAGGAGATCCTGTATAGAGAGGGAGAACAATGTGGAACAAAACTAAAAAACACTTGGGGAAAAAAGGGGGGGGGCAGGTTTGCTGGTCTGATAGAGCCTGGTGGGACCACTGAGACTATGGCCCCTAGCTGCCCTTCAGGTCTGGAATTGAACCCACACCTGTGGCTTCCAGCCAAACAAAAGACAGGCATATAAGTTAAACATGTACCTGAGGTAGATACACTCCTTGGAGAGAACAATCAAGGGAGAAAGAAGGGCAGCTTATGCACAGGGAGACAGCTCAGGGGGCAGGAGTACATGGAGGGATGGACATAAGGAAGAGGTAACTATCGGGAGGAAGTGGGAGGGGAGCTGTTGCACTGTGGTAAATTGTGGTCAATGTCATGAGACAAACTGTGTGTGAACTGCTGTATGGAAAGTGAATTTGCTCTGTAAACTTTCACCCAAATCACAATTAAAAAAAAAAAGTAATTGAGCTGAATACTGGATGGGTGCACTTTATGTATATTTCAGTTAAAAAAGAAAAGTGAATAAACATCACCTCCAGCAGCTGGTGCTACTAACTGAACACCTACTGTGTGCTGAGCCAGCTCATCCATCACCCCCTTTCATCTCCCTGAAACTCTGAGAGGTGGGGCTCTCTGGGACTCAGAGAGGGTGAGAGGTAGTTCCAGGCTCACACAGCAGCCAAGGGGCAGGGCCAGGGTATCTCAGGGCGCCCCCACTCCAGCCTCCCAGCAGCTTCCGTGGCCCCTGGGGTTCTCTCCTGACCTCCCTGCAGGAGCTAATGAGGTCAGGGCCCAGGAACGTGTCTGCAGCCACGAGGTGGGAGTTGGTGACTGAGGAGCTTGGAATGTGCTGCTTCTGTGGGGATCTCCTTGTGGCTCGGCCGACGGTTAGAGCAGGAAGGGACTTCCAGAGTCATGCAGTCACACACACATACACACCCGGTTTAAATAAAGACCGGGAAACTGAAATGCAGAGAGACCAAGACACTTGCCCCTAGTCAGGAGTTGGGGGCTGAGCCCCTACTCCAGCGCCCCAGGCTGCTTGAGGAGGGGGCAGGGATGGTCTTCTGGGGCAGGAGCGTGGATGCAGTCAGAGCTGACCTGTGTCAGGCCTCGAATGTGCCACCTCTTGTCTGCCTGTGTCACCCAACGTGCCCAACTTGGGTTTGGCCAAGGATATCAGCTGTGTGTATGTGTATATGTTCACACACATGCACCCTGGCCTCTTGTCTTTTTGTGTGATCAGAGTTCCAAGGGCACCCACCCCTGAGTTTTTTTATTAACATGAATGTGTTTTCAATACTACTTATCAAAGAAGCTCTGTTGGTTCCGGAGTCTTGCCCTTACCCACCCTTGTACCCTCCCTGAGTCCCACCTGCACGTGGAGGGTAACCACCCTTCCTAGCTCAGGGTAGAGCCAAGAGGGTAAGTTCTGAGCTGCTGACCAAAACGTTGGTGATTCAAACCCACCACTGGTTACACAGAAGAGAGACCTGGCAATCTCCTCCCATAAAGATTTATAGCCAAGAAAACCCTACGGGGCAGTTACATGGGGTCTCTGTGAGTCAGAATTCAGTTGATGGCACCCAACAACGACAATTTATCAAGTTCTGGCTATAAGCCTGATGCTATGCTATGCGTGTGGTATTATATTTACTTCTCTCCTCCAACAACCCTGAGATGTCATTATCATGTTTCCATTTTCCAGATGAAAAGGAGGCTCTGAGAGGTGTGGCCGTCACCTGAGTCACACAGCTGGTGAGCAGTCCATAAGAAGCCCACCCAAGACTCAGAACTGTCTGAGTGCAGCGAGCGTGTTCTTTCCATGGGTCACACTGCCGCAACCTCTCTCTCTCTCTCTCTCTCTCACACACACACACATCCACACACCCCTACATTTCTCATTCTGATAAACTGCTGTGGTTTCTTTTCTTTCCAGTGGAAGGCAAGTCTGGAATAGAACAAGGTCAAGGGGCGAGGCACCAGCCTGGCAAGCGCTTGAGTGCACAGCACTTTACAGGTTACAAAGCACTTTCACATCTGTGACCTCATCCGATCCTCACAGCAGCCCCATGAGGTCAGTGGGAGTCGCAATGATTGCCATTGAAACTGAGACTCAAAGGGGAGGTGACACAGAAAATGGCAGCTCTGGGACTGGAACCCCAAGGTCAAGGTGGCCTCCTGGTTCTCAGCCTTGAGTGAGCTCGCAGACCCTCCGCCTCTGTTCCCAAGGAAGGCAGCCCAGGCCCTGCCTCCCTGGAAGGCCCCTTCCCTGAAGACACTGGAGCTGGTCAGACGGAGATCCCGGGGGGAAGCCGGAGAGCCCAGCCTTCGCTCTGCACTGAATGACGTTGGAAGCCCCTTACTCTCCCTGGGCCTCAGTTTTCTCAGCTATAAAATGGGACGGGGCAGAGAAGCAGCTTTTGGAAGGGCCTCTGAGCACTGACAGTCTGCATGTGTGGAAAGGTGTTTGTGAAGCTCTGAGGGCTTTGAAAATCCTTGGCTGAGCCTGGGCTTGGGGTTCCCACGGCCCTGGTCTGGGAATCTGCTCCAGCCCCTCACCTAGCGACATTGGACAGTCATTGCAACGTCTTTTGGCTTCAGCTTCCCCATCTGTAAAATGGGGGTGATGGTGGTCCCTACTTCCCAGGGTTGTTGGTCTTTCGTTGACATTTGACCTGGCCTCAGGTTCACCTATGTCATAATCTTCAAACAATGCTGGTGACCACAGTCCCCTAGGAGCACTGACAGTATATAAAGATGACGGCGTTCATCACACAGCTGGCCTCTCGTCTCCCACTGCAGAATCCCACTGTCCAACAAGCCAAACCCATTGCCATCGATTTGACCCAACTCATGGTGAACCCACTGTTACCGTGATGAGCTGCTCCCAGGGTTTTCTTGGCCTTAATCTTCACAGAAGCAGAGCGACAGGCCTGCCTTCTGCAGCACCACTTGGTGTGTTTGAACTGTCTACCTTCAGGGTAGTGGTCAACTGTAAATCAAGGACCTTAAACCTTGTTTGAGCTCCTGAAATTCCAATCACCCAGCACAATGATACTGCATTGTACGGTGGGTCTTTCCAAGTATCACCTTGACCTTTGCAAGCAGTTAAAATAGACCACCATGTTTGTAACTCTGGTTTGTTATTTACTCATTTTTCAGTATACCTGGAAACTTAAAAACAGTAACAGTGGAGTGGGGCTCCACCATGGCTGAGAAGCCATGGATAGCACTTAGCACGGTTCCTGGCATGAAATAAACACCCAGTAATAGCGACCCCCTTTGAGTTTCCGAGGCGGTAAGTCTTTATGGAAGTAGATTGCCCAGTCTGCCTTCTGCGGAGTGGCTGGTGGGTTTGAATTGCCAACCTTCTGGTTAGCAGTCAAATGCCTTGGCACTGCGCCACCAGAGCTCCTATATAATAATAATAATAATAATAATATAAATGATCCATCCCATTTATAATCCACTTTACAGCTTCCAACCTGCTTTCCCATTCATCGTCCACCCTCCCACGTGCGGACGAGCGGCTCTGTTTCTGTTGTCGCCCACCGTAAGGCCGCAGAGGCCGAGGGCGCGCACCTTCTCCGGCTCGCCGGCCGCGGCTGGAGCGGCGGGGCGGGGCTGGACGGCCGCAGGTGCGTCAGGCCCGGGGAAGCCTCAGCCCCACCTGGGCGCGCCAAGGAAACTGCACCATGTATGGGCAGCTGCGTCAGAGGGCGGAGCCCTGCCCTGAGCCCCGCCAGCGGGCGCGGGGGACCGAGTCCGCCCCTACCCGGAGCAGAGGGGGCCGCGGGCCGCAGTAGGCGTCTCGCAGCTCGCGTGGACGGCCAAGGCGGCGAGTCCGAAGCAGGGAGCCCAGGGCACGCGCCGCTGCGCACCCCCGCGCGGTTCGAGTGGTTCCGCCCGAGAGCGTTCATTCATAAAAAGCAAAGACTCGGCGAGGAGCCGGTGAGTCAGGACCCAGCCGCCGCGAGCCCGCGAGCAGCAAGCAGCCCAGGGCATGTTCCGAGACTTCGGGGAGCCCGGACCGAGCGCCGGGAGGGGCAGCGCGTACCGCGGCCCCGCGCACAACCCCGCCGCAGCTCAGGCGGCCGGCCAGCAGGTGAGACGGGTCGGACAGCGCCTGGGACGCGGGGGTCCCGCTCCGGGACCGGAGAGGGGCCAGGGTCGGAGCTCGGGCCTAGGACGCTGTCTATTCCCCGCCGTCAAGAGGCCACGTTCCCTCCACGGCCCAGGGGGTGGCGCGCCGGACCACCTGCGGACGCCACTCCTCTCCCGCCCGCTTCCCGCTGTCTGCGGTCGATCCCTCTGTCTGTCTCTGCCGCTTCTTCCCTTCCTCCTGCCCACCGCTAGTGGTCGTGTCCGCACCTGCCTCTGACGGGGACCGGGGCCACTTGGGTTAGTCACTGGGGCTCGCCATCGCGGGCTGGATGCAGGCTTCGGGGTTCGAGCTGCAGCACAGACGCGCCCCCAATGGCGGGAAGCGGGCTCCAGCGGCTCACCAACCCCAACAGGAGGGGAACTCGGCGCTGCCTGTGACGGTGTGTCTGTCTGTCGGTCTGTCCCTCCCTGCCGGCCCTCTTCAGCGAGCCTTCCCCCTTCTCGGTGGCTGCCTGGGCCGTGGAGCCTGGTGGTCTCCGGACACCGCCCCTCGACCCCATTCCCAGATGCGCTTACTAGAGCCCGCGAGGTCTCAGGATGTGCGCGGTGTCACGCAGCAGACAACGCCAGCGCCGCCCCCACCCCCGACCCTTAGCCTGCAACGGCGCCCGCTGCCGGCTGGGGGGACCCGAGAGGCTGCAGGTGCCCATTTCCTGTTAAGGGGCCGCGGAGCACGTGTCGCCAGGGGAGGGAAGCAGCGGGCGTCCGTTGCGCCGAGTCACAGCGGCAGTCGAGTCACGGCGCGGCCGAGTCACGGCGTCTGAGTCACCCGCGGGGCCCCTCCCTTCCTGGCCCCGAGCGCCCTGGCCCGGACGATCTCCAGAGCGGGAGATGCTGCCGCCGGCGGTGCCTCGGGCCCGGAACTGGGGTCACTGGGCCACTGGGCCAGCAGCTGAGCCCGGGCCATGGCTGTTGGGACTTGCCTGGGCTTGTGGAGCGCTTCCTGGACCACTCTGGCGCCCACACCCAGTGCCCGGCTTGGGCGTCAAACCCAGTTCCTCTCCCAGAACAATAAGCCCTCATCCCAACCCATTGCTCAGATTTCTGGCAGAGGTCATCTCAGATCATCCTTGATGTGTTACTTACAGTGTGTCTGGAAAGGTCTGGAGCTTTCCACCTCATTGTCGGTATTCCATCGAATCTGGACCCACGGATTGTAAACCCCCCATGGGTCTGTGCCAGAAAGGGGTGTGTGTCAATTAAACTATGATCTCAGAGCTGTAAAAAGTACTGTTGAGGATCAATGAGTGCTATGATCCTCACCGATTACAATGTTACAGACAGGGAAACTGAGGCACGCTGAAGTGGAACAGCTTGCCCAGTGTCACACAGCCAGTAAGTGACTGAGCCAGGATTCAAATTGGGCTTACCTAAACGCAGCACAATTGCTGTCGCCTGCCACAGCACTGTGTACACCAGCCACTTGCCACTTACCAGGCTCACATAGTCTGCCACCTGATTCTCACAGCCACCCTGAGCTAGGAAGTGTGGTTACCCTCCACGTGCAGGTGGGACTCAGGGAGGGTACCAGGGTGGGTAAGGGCAAGACACTGGAACCAAGGCGCCTGGGGTCCATGCCTACTGCCCACTTACTGGCTATGTGTTTGAGGGCCATTCTTCCTCTGATTGGAAACGAATGTCATGGTAGCACTGCCCTCATATGTGCAGAGTATATAAGGCAGTCCAGTGCCTGAGAAGCCACACTTTAGAAGTCTTAGCTTTAATGGTAACACAAAGGCACAGAGAGGTTATGTGACCTGAGCAAAGTCACACAGCTCATGAAATGGGATTTCCCACCAGATGAGTTTGTCTGACTGCCAAGCAGTCTCCCAGAACCAGCAGCTGCTTTGGGGGTGGATGGCAGTGTGACTCTGCCCACTAGATGCCCTTCATTCCACAAAGACCTCATCCCTGGCCCTCCACTTCTTATCTCCCAGAAGTTCCACCTCATGCCAAGTCTCAATGCCGTGAGAGGCAGTCAGGAGTTGCAGTGGATGGTGCAGCCTCACTTCCTGGGACCCAGGAGCTACCCCAGGCCTCTGGGCTACCCCCACTTCAGCCCCCCACAACCCCGACCAGGAGTCATCCGGAGCCTGGGGCCACCTCCAGGAGCACGGCGCCGGCCCTGTGACCAGGTAAGGAGCAGAGAGACCTTGCCCTGCTTCTTGATGCCCAGTGGGCTGCTAGGATGCCAAGAACACAGGCTTAGAAGGAGGGAGGGCAGGGTCACTGGCAACTATTGCCCAAGACAGAAAGTGATCAGAGCCCTTGGAGAGATCCAGAGGGCAGAGAGGTCACTTCAAGACCAGGGAAAGCTTCCGGGAGGAGGGGGCCCGATTAGCCTAAGAGGATGTTAAACCCCAGGGGAGGATATGCACAGGCAGAGATGAAGGAAAGATGAAGTCCCAGGTGGAGGGAGAGGCAGGTGCAAGGAATGGAGGCAGAGGTGAGGGTGTGCATGCTGGCAGGCGATTGGACAGCAGAGTCCCTCACTGATGCAGAGGAATGGGTTGGGGAAAGAACAGGAAAGAGCAGATTCCCCTCAGCTGCCCTATCTCATTTAATCCTCACAAAAACCCTCTGAGGAGTGTACTGAGAGTCTCCCCATTTTACAGAAATAAAGGCACAGCCAAGTAAAATTACTCAGCCAAGATCACACAAGTAGTGAGGCATGAGCCCAAGTCTGTCCAACTCCAAAGTGCCTAAGGCATTTGACTGCTGACCAGAAGGTTGGCGGTTCAAACCCACCAGCACTCCTGGAACGAAGATTGGGCAATCTATTTCCATAAAGATTTACCACCTCGGAAACCCAATGGGGTTTGCTATGAGTTGGAATCGACTCCGTGGCAGGTTTTTTTTTTTTTTTTTTTTTAACCCACCCAGCCACACTGCTTCACTAGTCACTGCCAGGGGGCTCGAAGTGCCATTTGTGTCCCCAGCCAGGGTTCCCTGCCTCGCACTGCTCAAATAAAGTCCTTACCAAAAGGGAAAGGAGAGATGGAGGGAGATAATAAATAAGAGATGGGTCTTTGCTCCTTCTCCCTGGAGCGTTTTGGTTTGTGAGGCGATAGTGGCGTGAGGTTTGCATGTTGAAAAGCTTGCTCTACCAGCAGGGGGGAGGATGAGGTCCCTAGAGAAATGTGACATGGGCCAAGGGCTGCTTTCCCAGAAACACAATGGCTGGCCTTCGGGACTAACCGGACAAGGGGACCAGAGTGAGAGCCCCAGTGGCAGGCAAGCCAGGGATAAGCCCCCTCCTGGGTGCCAGCCAGCCCTGTCCTGAGGGTGACTCTTGGGGCCTGGGTGCTCCCAGGTCCCAGGCTGGGGCTGTGAGCGGGTCCTTGGAAGGGAGGTTGTCTCCATCAGTGGTCAGTGTTGATTCGAGGTAGGTACAAACCAAAAACCAAACTCACTGCCATCGAGTCAGATCTGACTCATAGCGACCTCACCTTGGGTTTCCGAGGCAGTATCCCAACGGAAGTAGGTTGCCCAACCTTCCTTCTCTGGGACCTTAAACAGGATTCTCCCTCCCTGAGCTTCAGTTCCTCACACGGCAAGTTGGGTGAAGAATTGTGCAAAGCACTTATCTGGCCCACGGTGGTGGTGGTTAGGGTGCTCTAGTTGATTACGACTCATGGTGATGCAATGTAACAGGGTACAAGTGCCTCCTGGGTTTCCTGGGCTGTAAATCTTTCCCGGGACGGGTCACCAGGTCTTTTCTCTCGTGCAGCAGCTGTGTGGTTCCAGCCACGGACCTTTGGGGCCAGCAGCTGAGCTCTTTAACCACTGCACCACCTTTATTGCTATCCAGGTGATTCCAACTCAGAAACCCCACAGGACAGAGTAGAATTGCCCCATAGGTTTCCAAGACTGTAAATCTTCTTTTTTTCTAAATTGTGATTTGGGTGAAAGTTTACAGAGCAAATTCACTTTCCATACAGCAGCTCACATACACGTTATCTCATGACATTGCTTGCATTTTCCCACAGTGCAACAGCTTTCCTCCTACTTCCTCCCCATAGTTACCTCTTCCCTGTGTCCTTCCCTCCTATGCACTCCTGCACACCAAACTGTCTCCCTGTGCATACACAGCCCTTCTATTCTCCCATGATTGATCTCTCCAAGGAGTGTATCTACCTAATGGAAATGTTCAGCTCATATGCCTGTCTTTTGACAGGAGTGGGTTCAATTCCAGACCTGAAGGACAGCTAGGGACCATAGTCTCAGTAGTTCCATCAGACTCTATCAGACCAGCAAACCTGGTCCCCCCCCCTTTTTTTTTTTTAATGATTTTGAGTTTTGTTCCCCATTGTTCTCCCACTCTATCCAGCGTCTCCTACATAGATCCTCCTCCAAGTGGTTGACCGTAGCTGGGCACCATCTAGTTCTTCTGGTCTCATAGTCATATAGGCTGAGGATTGTATGGCATACCAGTCCCTTGGACTAATTGTTTCTATGCGTCTTTGGTTTTCTTCATTCTTCTTTGCTCTGGATGAGGAGAGACCCATCATTGCATCTAGATGGCTGCTTGCAAGCTTTTATTGTCCCTCATCAAGGCTATAAATCTTTATGGAAACAGACTGCCATATCTTTCTCCCACAGAGTGGCTGGTGGGTTAGAACTGCCGACTTTTCGGTTATAGTAGAATGCTTTAACTTATGTGCCACCAGGGTTCCTTTCCTTTAGCATGGTGGTACTATGGTTAAAGTATTGGGCTGCTAACTAAAAGGTCAGAGGTGCTAACCCACCAGCTGTTTCTTGGGAGAAAGATGATGCTGTCTGCTTCTGTAAAGATTTACAGTCTTGGAAACCTTACACTGCCCTATAGGGTCACTATGAATTGGAATCTACTCAGTAGTTGATGGGTAAACCAAAAACCAAACTCACTGCCATGAAGTTGATTCTGACTCATAGAGACCTCCATTGGGTTTCCAAGGCTGTAAATCTTTATCAAAGCAGAATGCCGCATCTTTCTTCTGCCAAGCAGCTGGTGGGTTTGAACCACTGACCTTTTTGGGTAACGGTCGAATGCCTTAACCACTATACCAGGAAAAAAAAAGAAAAACAAAAAATCCACTACTGTCAAGTCAATTCTGACTCATAGTGACCCCTATGGGGTTTCCAAGGAGGTAAATATTTAGGGAAATAGATTGCCCCATCTTCCTTCCACGAAGAGGCTGGTGGGTTTGAACCGTTGACTTTCTTGTGGGTTCCTAAAAAAAAAAAAAAAAAAAAAAAACCCAAACTCACTGCCCTCAAGTTGGATCCAACTCACAGCAACCCCTCCTTGGGTTTCTGAGGCAGTATCATGATGGAAGTAGATTGCCCAATCTTCCTTCTGAGGAGCGGCTGGTGGGTTTGAACCGCTAGCCTTCTGGTTAGCAGTCAAAGGCCTTAGGCACTACGTCACCAGAATAAATTACAATTTATTCCAACAGTACTCACTAGCCCTCCCTAGTGTTCACAGCCCCACGGGGAAGAAGAGACTTGGTCAAGAGATGGAAAGGATGAGGGGCCTAAACAGAGGGGTGGGGACTGGTCCCAGGTCTCAGAGGAGCAAATGCCACTTCTAGCTGGGGGATGAGAAGGCTTCCTGGAGGAAGGGGCATTTTAGCTGAGTCCTGGGCAATGAGGAGATTAAAGGTTCATGGAAGGGAAGGGCACTTGATGGGGGGAATTGTCGGAGACAAAGACTGATCCCAGGAGATCTCACCGATCCGGGCTGCCTAGGCTGTGAGTGCAGGAGGCCGGCAGGGGGGCTGTAGCCTCTAAACCATGCCCTGTGCCAGGGGCCCACCCCTGGGCCACCGTGAGGGTTAAGTGCCGGGCAGCCCGCGGCAATGATGCGTCACCCACGACCCTCCGCCCCACCAGCTCAGCCCCGAGGAGGAGGAGCGCCGCCGAGTGAGACGTGAGCGGAACAAGCTAGCCGCTGCCAAGTGCCGGAACCGGAGGAAGGAACTGACAGACTTCCTGCAAGCTGTGAGCCCCGGCGCCCCCCCAAGCCTTAGGGTGACCCCATGGGAACCCAAGGGTGCCTAACCGAGCAGGAACCCTCATGAAAAAGGACCAAGAAAAAGCCATTAAAAATGAGTCGCAGCTCATCTCGCTCTCTCCAAATCACTGGCCCTCCCTGACTTTCGTAATCTAACAAGGAGGGTGGGACTGGGAGCAGAGCTCTTGCGGACTCGCTCCTTCTAAGACGCCCCCAGGCCTGATGGGAGTTGTGCCCATTTTTTCCCCCAGGGGCTCATGGGAGTTGTAGTCCAGCCTTACGCGGGGATTCCCAAGTTCCCCACCCCCTCACCCCTCCAGGCTGCGGGGTAGTCATTCCTCATCTTCCTGACGCCTCTCCTGATCCTTCCAGGAGACCGACAAACTGGAGGATGAGAAGTCCGGGCTACAGCGAGAGATTGAGGAGCTGCAGAAGCAGAAAGAGCGTCTGGAGCTGGTGCTCGAAGCTCACCGCCCCATCTGCAAGATCCCAGAGCAGGCGGAGGAGGGCGGCACAGAGGGCACTGGGCACACAGGCGCTGCCAGCAGCCCGCCCGGCCCCGCCCGCCCTGTGCCTTGTATCTCCCTTTCCCCGGGGCCTGTGCTTGAACCCGAGGCGCTGCACACCCCCACACTCATGACCACGCCCTCCCTGACCCCATTCACCCCGAGCCTAGTCTTCACCTACCCCAGCACCCCCGAGCCCTGCTCCTCGGCCCATCGCAGGAGTAGCAGCAGCAGCGGGGACCCTTCCTCCGACCCTCTCGGCTCCCCCAGCCTCCTTGCTTTGTAAAGGGTCCTGCCCCCTCCCTGCAGGTGTCACTCTAGCGACACCCCTCCCCCCACTGGTCCAGCTGGCCTGGACCGTAGTTCCCTCCCAAGCCCCAGCAGCTTCTTCTCCATCCCTCCGGATGAGACTCGGCATATTTTGCTTCAGGATGGAGCCAGCTCGGGGCCGCCAACGCTGCTGTTTCTCTTGAACACTTGCACTACATGAGACAAACTATTTTCTGCTTGTGCCGGAGACCTCCCGGCAGCCCAAAGGACTCTGGATAGTGCCTTGGAGGTCCTCTGAAGCCCCAGCCTCTTCCAGATCCACCCCCACAGTCTCCATCACCTTCCTGTCATCTCCCCCCAATCCTACACCCTGACAGAAGGTGCCACTCTACCAGCCCAGAACACTAACTCAACCAGCGCCACTGCCAGCAGCACCAGATACTGGACCAGGACCTCCTGTTGGCGCCGGATAAAGCAGAGCCCAGGAGGGTATCAGAGGCTTCTGTGATGAGCTTCCCCGCAGCCCCCGGCTCTGAGAGGCCTTTGGTTCCAGGGAATTCAAGCCCACAGTGAGAGCGCTATTTATTTTTCTAAAGAGAGTATTTTTGTAGAAACCTGTCAAATGGAATAAAATGGCCTGAAGCTCTGGTCTGGGTGCTTCATTGGGCCCCGCGGCTAGAAGGGAAACATTTGGACCAGGAAGCCCTCCGCTCCAGTCTCAGATACACTCATTCACTGTGTGACCTTGAACAAATTCTTTGCTATCTCAGAACTCTTATCTGACAAATGGGGCTACATCTTCTCTGTTCTCCGGATTGAGAGGAGGAAAAGAGTGCTCCCGGGTGCAGTAAAAATAAATAAATAAATAATCACCCTTCTCTTGCGGGAAGGGCCCCCAGGGGAGCACTGATCTGCCCCTTCCACCCCAGGGAAGGCGGATTGAGTTCTGGCCCCCAACACCTGCTTCCTGCCCCATTGTCTTGGACAGGAAGGAGCCGGGAAGTCAATTCAGGGTCTGGATCATGGCCTGTCCCACAGCACAGGAGGGGAGGCTGTGACCTACCACCATCCTCCATCCTACCCCAGCCACGAAGTAAACGGGGTGCCAACCACCTCAGCTCTGCAGCCCCTCTGGAGAGGGATGCGACCCCTGTTCCCAACATCCCAGCCTTCACCCCAACACCGGCGAGTTCCAAACAGACGCTCCCAGGCCGCTGGCTCTGCTTCTGTCCGTTTATTGGCTCCCACCCAGCCCCCAGGAAGTCCCTCCACGCCAGCCTCCAGACCCCCTGCCGCCCCACTGGCGAAGGCGCGGGGCTCTCTTCGGTGTCAGGGTTTCTCACTCCATGCCAAACGCCCCTCGGCGAAGCCGTGGCAGCGTCTAGGTCCCGAGGTCCACAGCAAACCCGGGGTGCAATCCGGGCGAGGGCAGGTGGCTAGGAAGCAGTGCCCTTAGTCGTCAGGGGAGCAGGCCAGGGGCAACTGATCGGGGCTGCCTACGCTGCCGGTACTGGAGCTGCCATCGCCCAGATCGCGGGGCCCGCAAGGGGGCAGGGTGAGCTCAGGGGTCGGCCCGGAGCCGGAGCCCCCAGCGCCGCCGGAGCCACCGCGGGGACCCCACTCCTCGCCCAGCGCCAGGCAGAGCTCCTTAAGTGCCAGGTTCTCCCGCAGCAGCTCCTCCTGGCGGCCCTCCAGCTCGGCCAGCTTCTGCCAGCAGCCGCCCAGGTCCTCGCGAACGGCCCGGGACGCCTGGGTCCCGAAGAGCTGCCACTGGCGCGCGGCGCGGCGCCCGCGCTGCCGCTCCGAGTCCAGGAAGCAGCAGAGGTCGCGCAGCTCGCGGTTCTCAGCCTGCAGGCGCCGGTTGAGCTGCTTGAGCTCGCGGATCTCGCCCAGGTGGCCCTGCAGCTGCCGATTCACCTCCTGCATGAGACGGCCTCGCTGCACCAGCGCCGCCAGGCGCGCCGCCTCCTCCCGCCGCAGGCGCCGCACCAGCTCCTCCTTGCCCAACGCCGCCATCTCCTCGTCCGTCAGCTCCTCCAGGCCGCCTGCTTCGGCCTCCATGGCTGCTCAGGCCGCTGGAGCATCGCCTGCCGCCGTCGCTGCCCAGGAGCCCCACCTCAGCCCGGCGCCGCTAGGGCTCCGGCTCCCGCCCGCGGGCGGCAGGCAGCAGCGGAGGATGCGGAGGCTGTAGCCGCGGCCCGGGGGTGGGCACGCGGCCGGGCGCGCGCCGGGGCGGGGCCGCGTGACGCCGCAGAAGGACAGCCAATCTGGGGAAGCCTCCCTGGTAAGGGGCGGGGGTAATCGCAGAAGCTCCTCCTCCGCCCACTCCGGATCGCGGTGGCCTGACTCTCGCCCGCCCGGAGAACTCGCGTCCCCGTCCTCCGCACCGGTCTCAACCCGAAGCTAGGCGCTTCGTACTTCCCATTCTGGACCTCCTCAAGCTCGAGCCTAGGCCTCTCGACTCCTTAAGAACCAAGACTTGGGCGTCGGCCTCCGACTCTCCTGCTCACTCCGGGACGGAACGCAAACTGATCGCCTTCCCAACCTACAAGCTTAGTTCAAACTCCAGAGTCTTGGCTCCTGAGCATCGCTCCTGAGTCTAACGTCCTGGCTTCCCGTCAGCTTCCCCTTTCTCCCACGAAGTGTTTCCTGCCCTAGGGAGGGATATACAAGGGACTCATTTGTTTAGTGAATTTTATGGTGTGCAAAAATAAACTTGACCAAGGGCAATGTACCAAAAGTGAATGATCAACACGGTGGCTTTGAGGACAAGACAGAGAGAGGTACCTGGGAGGTACAGACAACAAAGATGAACCTTTTTGCATGTACTGCGTTGTCAGTGATGGGAAGCATTGATCTACTGGTGGATAGGTGAGTGGACAGGGTTAACGAGATCAGGTATGTATGTCTAGGCAGGAGAGAGTGTGCCCATGACCATCTATAGGGTTGACAGATAGTGTTTCTACAAGAGTATTTGTAGGTGCTGTAAGAATGTCTGGGTGTATAGTAAAGCTGACAAGGGACAAGGTTGTGGTGGCTTCTTGGCCACAGCCAGCTACCCTGAGGGAGCAAGTAGTTAGACCTGTGGGATCAGGACCATGGTTGCAGGGGACATCAAGATCAACTGGCATAACATACTACCCAAGACATTGTTCCACATCCTACTTTGGCGAGTAGTAACTGGGATCTTAAAAGCTTGCAAGCAACCATCTAGATGCAACTATGGGTCTCTCCTCATCCAGAGCAAAGAAGAATGAAGAAAACCAAAGACATGGAAACAATTAGTCCAAAGTACTGGTAGACCATGTGAACCTCAGCCTATATGACCATGAAACCAGAAGAACTAGACTGTGCCCGGCTACCACTGTCAACCGGGAGCTGTGGTGGTATAGTGCCTAAGGCATTTGACTACTAGCCAGAAGCCTGGTAGTTCAAACCCACCAGCCACTCCCCCACCCCCACCTGGGTCCCGGTGGCTGACTGTACCTCTGTCTGGGATCCCACAGAATGTGGAAATTATAGAACAATATCATTAATATCACACGCAAGTAAGATCTTACTGAAGATAATTCAGAAACGTTTGCAGCAGTATATTGACAGAGAACTTCCAGAGGTTCAAGCCGGATTCAGAAGAGGACGTGGAACAAGGGATATCATAGCTGTTGTCAGATGGATCTTGGCTCAAGGCAAAGAATACCAGAAAGATGTTTACTTGTGTTTTATTGACTATGCAAAGGCATTTGATTGTGTGGATCATGACAAATTATGGATAACATTGAGAAGAATGGGAATTCCCGAGCACTTGATTGTACTCATGAGGAATCTGTACCTTGACCAGGAGGCTGTCGTTCGAACAGAACAAGGGGACACTACATGGTTTAAAATCAAGAAGGGAGTGCATCAGGGTTGTATTCTTTCTCCACACTTATTCAATCTATATGCTGAGCAAATAATCCGAGAAGCTGGACTATATGAAGAAAAACGTGGTATCAGGATTGGAGGAAGAATCATTAACAACCTGAGATATGCAGACGATACAACTTTGCTTGCTGAAAGTGAGGATGACTTAAGGCACCTATTGATGAAGGTTGAGGAATACAGTCTGCAGTATGGAATATGTCTCAATATAAAGAAAACAAAAATCCTCACAACTGGACCTATAAGCAGCATCACAATAAGTGGAGAGAAGATCGAGGTTATCAGAGACTTCACATTACTTGGTTCTTGAATTGATGCTAACGGAAGCATCAGTCAGGACATTAGACGACGTGTAGCATTGGGAAAGTCAACTGCGAAGGAACTGTTTCAAGTGCTGAGGAGCAAGGATATCTCCTTGAGGACTAAGGTGCGCCTGACACAAGCCATGATATTTCCAATCGCCTCGTATGCATGTGAGAGCTGGACAATGAATAAGGAAGACCGAAGAAGAGTTGATGCTTTTGAGTTGTGGTGCTGGCGAAGAATGCTGAAAGTACCGTGGACTGCTAAAAGAACTAACAGATCTGCCCTGGAGGAAGTGCAGCCAGAATGCTCCTTGGAAGCAAGAATGGCCAGACTTCGTCTCACCTATTTTGGTCATGTTGTAAGAAGGGACCATTCCCTGGAGAAGGATGTCATGCTTGGTAGTGTGGAGGGTCGACGAAAGAGGGGGAGGCCTTCAACGAGATGGATTGACACGGTGGCTGCGATGATGGGCTCAAGTATAGCAGGGATTGTGGGGCTGGCGCGGGATCGGGCAGTGTTTCATTCTGCTGTGCATGAGGTCGCTATGAGTCGGAAATGACTCAACGGCACTTAACAACAACAACAACGGCCACTCCCCAGAAGGAAGACTGGGCAATCTACTTCCGTAGAGATACTGCCTCGGAAACCTAAGGAGGGATCGTTATGAGTCGGGAGCGACTCGACAGTAGTGAGTTTGAGTTTTGGTACTACTGTCAACCACTTGGAGGGCATTGGTGAAGGAGATCATGGATAGAGTGGGAAAACAATGTGGAACAAAACTCAAAATCATAAAAAAAAAAAAAAAAAAAGACCAGGTTTGCTGGTCTGATAGAGCCTGGTAAGACCTCTAGTTGCCCTTCAGGTCTGAACAGAACTCACTCCTGTGGCTTCCATCAAATAGACAGGCATATGGGTGAACATTTACATCAAGTAGATACGTTCTTTGGAGTGATCAATTATGGGAGAACAGAAGGGCAGTTTCTACAGGGAGAGAGCTGGGGGTGGGGGGAAGGACACAGGGAAGAAGTAACTATGGGGAGGAAGTGGGAAGAGAGCTGTTACTTTGTGGGAATTGCAGTGCATGTCATGAAACAAAATGTGTTCAAACTGCTGTATGGAAAACGAATTTGCTCTGTAAACTTTCACCGAGATCACGATAAAAATTAAATAAATAAACTTGACCAAGAACCTTACCTTGTCCTCACAGAGGTCACAAGTCGACAGGCAGGCTGTATTAACCAAGAAGCAAATGGCGGGGGATGGGGTGCACGTCTGAGGCGCTGCCAGAAAGATTTCCTAAGATAGGTGATAGCTGAGAAGCTAAAAGATGCACAGGACTTGGCCAAGTCATGAAAGGCTTACTTCAAGGTAAAGGTCTTCCCCTGATCACCGGACGATGAAAGACACTGGTGCCTGAAAGGGCCTAGCTATTTTAGGAACACTGAGAGTAGTATGATTTTTTTTTTTTTTTTTTTTTAAGTAGGTACATGGAGAAAGCAGCAAGGCAGTGAGGTAGTACAAAGGTACCTGGAAACTGGATTCTAAAGAGCTTTCAACACCAGCCTGGGGAGTTTACGCGGACTAGCAAGGATTTTAAGCAGCGGTGTATCATAATCAAATGTGCATGGTTCTGAGCGGAGGCGTGTAGGCAGGAAGATTAGTAAGAATACTGTGGCCACGGGCAAGGATAGCTATGCAGCACTGGGCTGCGGAGCGGCAGTGGGGGTGGAGAGGAGGAATCAGATACCACAAACATCCAGGAGGCAAAATCAGAACTGAATGTGGGGAGAGTCGGGGAGAACACTCAGGTTTCCGGTGTGAGAACTGGGTGGATGTAGGGGCTGCGCTGAGACAAGGGATACAGAACAGAAACAGATCTGGGAGGGTCTGTCTAGAATTTGTTGGATTTGGGATTGGGGAAGGTGGCCCTCCGGACGTGGACTTCCGGGCAGAGCTCTGAGCTGCAGAATCAGAGGTTATTAGCTTGTGGGGGAGGTTAAAACCCTGAGAGAGCTCAGAAGAGGTAGTGATCGTCGGCAGGATGGGCGGAGGGGTCCCCAGCAAGTGTCCTTGGACGTTGGGCCCTACACCCTGTTTGCAAAAAGAGATTTAAGGTGGAGCCCTGTGAAACTCCTAAGCGTAACACACAGCTCCAAGTGGGAAGGCCGGGAAGAAGACAGAGAAGGTGGGAGGAAAACCAGAAGGGAGTCAAGGCAGAGCGGCTGGGGCAGGAGAGCCTGGCGGGAGATCTCGACTCAGTCGCTCTCCGTTTGGCAGCCCTGGTGGCGGAGGTGCCAAGGATTTCCCTTCCTGCCCGGAGGAGCGGCAACTTCACCGTCTCGGCCTCCGCTTCTTCCCGCCCCCGTTCCGGAAGTGGTCCTTCGCTGGCTCCGGGTGCCCGGAGCGGAATCTTGGCGCTCCCGGAAGTGGCCCGGCGGCGGCGGCGCGCCCGGCCCGGGCAATCCTCGCTCCTGCTTGGGGCGCTGCTGCGACGCCCAGACGCGGGCGTCGCCATGACTAGCGAGCTGGACATCTTCGTGGGAAATACGACCCTCATCGACGAGGACGTGTATCGCCTGTGGCTGGATGGCTACTCGGGTCTGTGTGTAGGGCCGCCTGGGGGCTCCGCTCCGGCGCAGCCGTTCTTTTAGGTGGAAGAAGGGGCGGGGCCAGGGCTTAAGACAACCCACCGGGAAGTGCACAGGGAGCTCGCGCGAGGGGTCTGTACGAGTTAGGATTGCGATCTTAGGAGGACCCCTGGGGTGGCCGAGGCGGGGGCTGATGCCGGCACCCATTCCCTAGTGAGCGACGCAGTGGCCTTGCGAGTGCGCTCGGGAATCTTGGAGCAGACTGGCGCCACGGCGGCGGTGCTGCAGAGCGACACCATGGACCACTACCGCACCTTCCACATGCTCGAGCGCCTGCTGCACGCACCGCCCAAGCTCCTGCACCAACTTATCTTCCAGATCCCGCCCTCCCGGCAGGCGCTGCTCATTGAGAGGTGCTTACCCAGCCTGAGGGAGGCGCTGTAACTTACATCCCCATTGCACAGGCGGAAACCGAGGCCCCGGGAGGGGTCGGGACTTCTCCAGGCACTCAGAAGGTTGAGAGCAGAGGCGGCCAGAACCCGGACCCTGCCAGGACCCCTTTCCCCCTTCTTTACGGAGGGTCACTGGTGTTCACGCCTCCACGCTTTCACACAGGTACTACACCTTTGACGAGGCCTTTGTGCGAGAGGTGCTGGGCAAGAAGCTGTCCAAGGGCACGAAGAAAGACCTGGACGACATCAGCACCAAAACAGGCATCACCCTCAAGAGCTGTCGGAGACAGGTGGGCCTACACACCCACTACACACTGCCTTCCATGGAGTCCGCCGCTGCACTCCGAGGTCCCTTTGGCGGCTGCCCCCTCCTCTGATTGTGGCAATAGCTTCACACCTAGTCTCCTCACCCACATTGCCTGCTCTGACCAGAGCGACTGTTCAGAAGCCCAGATCTCACCAAGACTTTTCTGCTTATAAGCATCCTTCGGCTCCCACAGTCTCCTGGTAACAGCCCTGCTCCTTGGCCTTGACCTTCAGACCTGCTGTGATCTGGACTCTGCTGACCTCTCAGCCTGCCTCCCAGGCTTGCTTTTTTATCCTGCTGGTCCTTCTCCCTGGAGAGCACTGTTCTTGGCCATATCTGCTCCCTGAAATGCAAGGCGAGGGTCTGATCTGATGCCACCTCCTCCACAAGCCTTCCTGGGAGTGCCAGGGAGAAGCAGGCCTTCCCCTGCACCTTGAGTGCCTTTTCCTGTCTTCTAGGGGCTCCCTGAGGGCAGCATTTGTTCATCTTTGGGCTCTTGGAGCTTAGCCAGCAAGGTCAGTTCCAGTACAAGCTCCAAGATTGTTGAGCACAGTACTGAAGTAGGGTTGAATTTAGAGACAGGAACATGAACTTTTTCCAAGGTGACATGGCAGAAGCTGATAGCACGTTTGCTGAACTGATGTTAGTTGTCATCGAGTCTACACAGACTCACGGTGACCCCACGTGTACAGGGCAGAACTGCTCCGTAGGGTTTCAAGCCCAGGACGTTTCAGAAAGATCGCCAGGCCTGTCTTCCAAGGCACCCTTGGGTGGTTCCAGCCACCAACCTTTTGGCTGATAGTTGAGCACTTCATTGTTGTTTTGATAAAAGGCACTAAGTTGACGGAATAAACCAAAGCCAAACTCACTGCCATCAAGTCAATTCTGACTCATAGTGGCTCCCATTGGGTTTCTGATGCGGTAAATCTTTACTGAAGTAGATTGCCATGCCTGCCTTCTGCAAAGAGGCTGGTGGGTTCAAACCACTGACCTTTTGGTTAGCAGCCAAATGCCTTAACCACTGCACCACCAGGCTCCTTAAGTTGACGGAATGAAAGGTGCTAAGCCAGCATTTGTTGCCGGGCGAGTGGTCAGTAAACAGCCCTCCTTCCTCCCCTAACTGCCCCGCAGTTTGACAACTTTAAGCGTGTCTTCAAAGTGGTGGAGGAAATGCGGGGTTCCCTGGTTGACAACATCCAGCAACACTTCCTCCTCTCTGACCGGCTGGCCAGGTGAGCAGTCAGGTGAGGGGTGCAACAAGAAGCCAACTACACCGCGTTTTGCACAGTCCTTCCTGGGTCTTGAGGGTGATCCAACTTTCCCCCCTCAGCCTGCCCCCACCCCCCGGCCTTCTCTCTGTGCTAAAACCAGCAAACCAAACTCCCTGCTACCGAGTCAGTTCTGACTCAGAGCAACCCCCATTGGGTTTCCAAGGCAGTAAATCTTTATGGAAGTGGGTTGCCCAGTCTTCTTCCATGGAGTGGCTGGTGAGTTTGAACCACCAACCAACTGATTAGCAGTCAAATGCCTTAGGCAATATGCCACCAGAGCTCCTTTCCCTGGCTGTGCTAGGGGCATGGGTACCCCACTTTTGATCTGTGCTTCAGACCAGCCTGATCTGGGTTTGAATCCAGCCTGGCCGTTTGCCAGCTGGGCTTTTGTGAAGTGGAAATGAGGCTCTGTCCACAAAGCCTTTGGCATAGCACCTGGCGCTTAACAAGTGCTCAGTACACGGTGGGCCTCGTTGTGGTCTCCGCCATGTCCCTTAGGAGACCTTCCACAGGTGAGGAGACAGAGATCCGAAGAGAAGTGACCTGAGACAGGTCGCGTAGTGAGTTAGGGCAGACAGGGACCAGTGCTTGGATGTCCAGCCAGAGTTACAGGTGGGGAGCTGCTTGCTAAGAAAGGGTGCCGAGCCCCGAAGGGGACCCGCTCTCCCCTCTCTGTAGGGACTACGCGGCCATCGTCTTTTTTGCCAACAACCGCTTTGAGACTGGGAAGAAGAAACTGCAGTATCTGACCTTTGGTGACTTTGCTTTCTGTGCTGAACTCATGATCCAGAACTGGACCCTCGGTGCTGTCGGTGAGGCCCCCTGAGGGCCAGGTGGCTCTCTACCCGCTCAGGGTCTGCCTCCCCATGGTGGGCTCTCTTGACGGCCCCAGTCCCAGCCGCCTTTCTTCTTTGGGGCCCTCCCGGGCCTCCTCTGCCTGTGGCCCAGGCGCCTTCCACGCCTCTTGCCTGCAGAGGGCCCGCTGCTGGCCTGGGACACGCCAGTCCAGCTCTCCGAGACTCCCACTTCCTCTTCTGCTCCCTGGACACCATGAGGTGGTGGGTGATGAAGGGGTGGACGTTGCGGGAGGCGGTTCTTTTTATTTCTCACCTGCCCTGACTCCTCTCATCGGGCCTCCTCCAGACTCCCAGGTGGATGACATGGACGTGGACTTAGACAAGGAGTTTCTCCAGGACTTGAAGGAGCTCAAGGCACTTGTGGCCGACAAGGACCTCCTGGATCTGCACAAGAGGTGAGCTTGGGAGGTCCCTGGGGCAGGGCCGGAAATAGGCGCCTGGGTGGCGCTCGGGCTGACCCTGTGTCCCCGCAGCCTGGTGTGCACTGCCCTCCGGGGAAAGCTTGGTGTCTTCTCGGAAATGGAAGCCAACTTCAAGGTCTGTGGCCCGGTGCAGCTCCGCCCCTCGGGCATCTTCAGCCTCCGGTGCCTGTCCCTACTGGCTAACTCTGGGCATGCCTAGGAGTGACTGGCAGGCGCTGCTGCTACTCCCTCTGCAGGCCTCCGAGGGGGGGAGTCGGTTGACTGAGGGAAGTGGCTAGACTTGGGGCGGGGCCCGGCCCTCCCCCAGCCTCTGAGCTTAGCCCCCAGCCTCCGGGGCAGAAGGCAGAACTCCCAGGACCCCTGCCCCACAGAACCTGTCGCGGGGCCTGGTGAACGTGGCGGCCAAGCTGACCCACAACAAGGATGTCCGAGACCTGTTTGTGGACCTGGTGGAAAAGGTGAGCCGTCCTGCCGCCGCCCTCTGACCCCGGAGCTGGCCTGTCCCCGGGCTGTGCCACATGTGAGATGTTCCCTTGGGCCCCCAGTTTGTGGAACCCTGTCGCTCTGACCACTGGCCACTGAGTGATGTGCGGCTCTTTCTGAATCAGTATTCGGCGTCCGTCCACTCCCTGGATGGCTTCCGGTAAGGGACCCCGGGCCTCCTGCCGGCATGGCCTCGCCCCAGCCAGCCACCTGCCAAGGCTGAGCCCTCCTGCACCCTCGGTGTTCCCCATCCTGCCACCCTGGGCTTGGAGTGCTCTCTCTGTAGACCAGAGTTCAGAGCTGTGTGACCTTGGGCTGTTCCCCCACCTCTCTGTCTCAGTTTTCTGGCATGTAAAATTGGGAATGATACACCTATCTGGGAAGAACTCTTTGAGGGTTAAAGAAGTTAGGGTCCGTGAAGCACTTAGAGCCACGCCTGGAGAGAGTCAGGGACCATCCGTTTTTACTGTTGCTGGTGTCGTTCCAGGTACCAGGCACTCTGGGACCGCTACATGGGCACTCTCCGGGGCTGCCTGCTGCGCCTGTACCATGACTGAAGCCCCTCTCCACACCCTGCCCACCCTGACAATAAAGCTGCCACGAGTTTGGAGACTGTTCCTTGCTCTGGGGGGGTGGAGCCTGTGTGGGAGCACTCGTGGGTCCACATGTGGGTGTGTTTGCTAGCTGCACATGTGTGTGCATGGGCGTGTGTCTGAGAGTCAGGGTGTGTGTGTGTGTGTGTGTGTGTGTGAGAGAGAGAGAGAGTGAGTGAGGACGTGTGTACATCAGCCCCCTGGAGATGGAGGTGTCAGGAAGGAGGTGGTGTCTGTTCGTATCCCCATTCCCCTAGTCCAACCAAGTGCTCTTGGAAGCCAGGGGACTTGTGGTTTATTCAGGCCGTAGCCAGAAGACTGGGGAGATGGGCAGAAGCCTTGGGGTAGAGCCAGCGAGGAGGCAGCTGGTGCCCCAGGAGAGAGCTGAGGAGCGGCTGGGCGGGTTCACGGAGGGCAGGAGACTGGGCGCTTCTTGGTTGGTTGGTCCACACGGGCCGTGAGCGGGTACTTGGTGATGCCACAGGTGTTGCTTCCTCGGTGCAGCCGGAAGTAGCCCTAGGAATCGGTGGACATGACGCCAGAGGGCGAGGGGCCCAGCCCGCCCCATCCCACCCCGGAGCACACCCACCTCCTCGCCCCAGTTGGGCCCCCAGGAATTCTTCAGGATCCAGTATGAGATGGCGCGACGAGGACGAGGAGCTGGGGCGCCAGCCTGGGCCCCTTCTGCCCGCATCCTCGCTCTCGACTTGCTCTTGCCGAAGCCCACCAGCAGGACAGAGTGGTCCACTTGACGGGGGTCACAGGTGTCAGCCGTGGCTCTGATCACGCCCTTCTGGTAATGCTGCGGGGCACAGGGTGGAGGGTCAGAGGCAGGCGCCACCCTCCCTGGGGGTCCCCCATTCCTTGTCCCATCCCACCTGCAGTAGCTTCATGTTGATGGTCACAGTGATGGGACCGTGGGTGGCCAGGTACTCGGCGATTTCTGGGGGAGCGAAACGTGGGGTCAGGCCCTGCCTGCCCTGTGGCCCTGCTCATAGCACAGGGACTAAGAGCATAATGGGGGTTTTCTGTGTGTACGTCCCCGTCCCTCCACGCCATGGTCTGTCCTGCCGTCCCCCCGCCGCGTCCCCGCCCGGCCGCACTCTGCTCATTGTCCTGCAGCATGATGAAATCCTGGATCCAGGCCACCTTCTTGTGCTGCTTAGCCTGGCACCTGTGGGCGTTGTTGTCCCCCCGGAAAGGGTATGCCTTTTCGCTGGCCAGGCCGCCTAGGGGGAGGGGAGAGGAGCACGAGGAGGCAGGGACTTGGCCGCCAGCCATCCTTAGCCCTGGGTGCCTGGTCCCCACGCCCACCCTACAGTTGCCTGGAGAGGCAAGGACTCACTGTTGTTGAGGACAGTTACAAACGCATCCCAGACAAAGCCTCCGCTGCAGCCGTTCCCACAGCGGTCACAGTCGAGCAGCTCTGGGACAGAAAGGGACTGTCTGTGTGGCCAGGTCCCTGGTACCCCCCCGCCCCGTCGCCCCTCTCCCTCTCCCAGCCATACCCTGCACAGAGACTTCCACAGACTGATGGAATCTGATGCCCCACAGGGACTCTATGTTGCTGGCCGCTGCCATGGCCCAGCAACATTTGCAGTTTTTCTGGTGGGTAAGAGGGTAGGGGTAGGGGAGTAGGGTGCCTGGGCCCTGCCCCCATCCTCTCCCACCGTTTGGGCTGAATTGGGCCTGGCTGTGGAGGGGCAGTGATACCTGGTCCCTGACGGGTTTGATGATGTCGGCCATCTTGCGCCAGTCACAGGTGGAGGGCACTGACTCTCCCCGTCCTTCAGGGAGCGCCTTCCTGCTCACATTGGGGGCCTTTCCAAGAGACTTGTGGTGGCCATAGACCAGGCCAAAGTCCTCCTCTGGAGACCAGCAGGGCCACTGAGGCCAAGGTTTTGACCACCTCTCCCCCAAGTCTTGCCTGTGCTACTCCAGCCGCCCACATCCTCGACCGTGTGGGTCTCCATAATGCCTTCGAACTCCAAACTGCCACTGGCGTCAGTTCTAACTTAAAGCAACCTCCATTCCAAGGCTAAATCTTTACGGAAGCAGAACACCTTATCTGCCATGGAGCAGCTGGTGGATTTGAACCACCAACCTTTTGGTTAGCAGCCAAATGCCTTAACCACTACACCACCAGAGCTCTTTGCCCATAATACCCTAGGAGGCAGAAAGGCAAGGAAACAGGCTAGACAGCGGCCAAGCTCCCTCCTGGTGCCCTGTCCTGTGGCCTTGACCCCTGACCTGGCATCCCAAGCTCCTGCCCCGCCCCACCCCACCACTGCCTCCTGGTGGGGCGGGCACTGGGCTGTCTTCAGACCCCTCTCTGGGAATGGAAGCTTGCGGTCGGCCTGCCTTCTGCCAGTGTCCCTGCAAAAGCCTCTGCTTCCCATCTGCGGCCCAGGGCCCAGGAGGTGTCCTGGTACCTGTGAGGTCACTGAATGGGGTCACCCCAAACTTGGCTGTGCCCAAGTCCTCTTCCTCCAGCTGCTGAGCCCGGGCCAGGTTCCGGGCAAAGATGTCCAGGCGGCGGGCACGCTCTGGGCCAAAGCAGGCTGTCAGAGGCTGACTCCAAACCCCCAGGGCAGGAAGTGGCCACTGGCTGGGTGTCCTCACCCCACCCCACCCCAGGTGAGCTCGGCCTCCTCCCCTGCAGACTCCTGGGCCCAGGAAGTGCCCGGCCCACCCCTTTCCCCATTAGGTTTTCTGTGGCAGCAAGGGCGGTATCTCTGCGTGCCCTGGGGAAAAAGCAAGCAAAGGGGTCACAGACAGAGTGACTCAGAAGGAAAAGGTGGTCGCTGAGTTGGACTTCCTGTCATGCCGCTGCTTCGCACTTCTGACCACACAGCTGGAGCTGGGGCAGAGGCAGCCTGAGATGAAAGCCCCCACAGACCACCCTCTGCAAGACCAGACCTGCAGTGGGGGCGGGGCAGGGTTGGCTGCTCACGGAGGTGGAGAGGGAGGGCCCAGCTTAGGGACAAAATGGCTGTTTGCTCAATGAATACACGTAGGGACGGTGGTCTCACCCCCACTGCCCACTCTCCCAGGGCTGGAGAGCTGTGGAGGCAGAGGGCCAGACTCTCCCAGGTTCCATACATGCAGGCAGGACACCAGGGGGTCCCCCCCAACCCTGCTGCTGTCCCGCTGAGCGGCCTTGACCCAGCTCCTTCTCCACTTGGAACCTCAGTTTCTTTATCTATTAAGTGAGAGGAGGGGCCTGGACTGACGCAGGTGCCCAGGGGTACCTGCTGAGTCCGAGTAGCTCCGGTTGTACTGACTCTGGAACACCTTGAAGACCTCTTTCAGCTCCAGTGGCTGGGGGCCTGAGGCCTGGCAAGAGACCAAGATGGAGGAGGTGTAGTGGGGCCCACAACTCCACGTAAGGACTGGGCTAGGGGGTCAGCCAGTTAGCCTGCTCTGTCTCCCCGTGTGAGCTGGACCTCAGTCATCCCCTCTGAGAACTGGGCGACAAGCCAGTTGTTTCTGGAAAGTGTGTGTCCCCAGGCTGTGAGCAGAAGGGAGGGAAGGGGGCTTAGAGGCACTTACCTGCCCCAGGAGGGGTCCTCTGATGCCCTGGGCCAGGCTGACCACTAGCAGAGCCTGCAGGTAGGAGAGGCGTCTAGCTGAGGCCATGGTGAAATGAGTGGCAGAGCCAGGAAGCGCGAAGCCCAAGCTGAAGGGGGCAGGAGGGCGGAGCTGGCAAACCACAGGGGGACCCCACACACGGGGGAGCAGCCCGGAGCAGGAGGCCACAGCTGGCAGGCCGCTGGTTGCTGGGTATTTAGAGAGGGTCTGCCCCTGAGGGGACGGAGAAGCAGCGCCTGAGTGGGCAGTGACAGTATAGCTCCGATGGGGAAGTCGGGGGGCTACGGGGGCAACAAGCCAGTGACGACTAGGCAGGGATGGAGGGTGGCCAGTGACCCCAGGACCCACTCCTGCTCGGCTTAGAAGCCCAGTCAGGCCACACAGGTCACTTTCAAGAAGCCTCTCTGCTCTGCAGCCTCTGAAGTGACCTGCTACCCCCTCCCGCCCCTACTGCGCATGCATTTTTGGCCCTTGTCTCCCACCATGCTGCCATTACTACACCCACTGCGCCACCCGCGTCCTTGGCCCCCCAGACAGGGCAGGCATCGGGAGGGCTTGATGTATGTTTGTTGAATGAATGAATGACCATCCCAGGTTTTTGAACGGACAGTGCAGGGTCCAGGAGAAGCAAGCGGCAGCTAGTCTCCTTCTGTCCCTCCTCCCTGCCACAGTCTGGGAAAGAGGCCAAGGCGGCTGGGTGGGGCTGTGGGGGGGCACAAAGACAGCAGGGTGAGCTTCACAGAACAAGGGCCAGGGCAGGCAGCAGTAGGTCCTGCTCAACTGTGGTCGAATTCTACCAGCTGTGTGACCTTGGGGCAGTCACTTCCCCTCTCTGAGCATGTCCCCCTTCCTGCACAGGGCTGTTTCCCAAAGTACACAGGAAGGTGGGAGAAAGGGGGAGGAAGCCAGGTCACATCATGGCCTCTGTAAGTCACTGGGTTTTAAACAGAGTAGGCCCACAGGCAGTAACGAAGGTGCCTAGCACTTGGACGACTAGTATTATGTGCCCCCAAGGTGCTATGTGCTTTGTAAGTACTAAGTCAGTCCTTGGATTAGTTTCGTGGCTGCCATAACATGATGCCACAAACTGGGCAGCGTTAAGCCCCAAAAACGTATTGTCTCACAGTCCTGGAGGCGAGTACGGTAAAACCTGTGTAAGGCGGACACCTGTCAGAGAAGGAAACCTCAAATATTTTCCACTGATGGAGAGCGATGGAAAAGTGGAGAGACTGTGCCCTGTCAAAGGTGGGACATTTGCGAGACCCGGAAAAACGAGGCGGTCCTGTCTGGTTCCGGCCCTCACAGGTTTCACTGTAGCTTGAATCGGAGGTGTTGGCAGGGCCACGTCCTCTTCAGGGCTCTGGTGGAGAACATTTCGCGTCTGTCTCAGCTTCCGGCAGCCCAGGCGTTCCTTGCCGTCTGATGCATCTTCACATGGCCATCTCTGTCTCTGTGCCTTTTCTCTTTGGTATGGAGACCACTCGGCCCAGCCTGCACCCACTATGAATCAGCCCCACAGCAGTGGGTTTGGTTTTTATTTTTAACTCCAGTATGGTCTCCTGTTGTCTGGTAGCATCTTCAAAGACCCTATTTCTGAACTGGGTCATGTTCACAGGTACCAGGAGTCAGGATTTTAACCTGCTTTTTTCAGGGACACAATTCGGTCTCTAACAGCCCTCATCGCAGTCCTGTGAGATAATCATTCTATAGATGAAAGAAACTGAGGCACAGACAGGCTAAGAAACTTGTCCAAGGCCACACAGCGAGAGGTGGGTGTAACTGAGATTCAGACCCAGTGTGATCCCAGCATGCCAGCCCCTACACTAAGCTGCCTCTCTTTCTTGTGCACACAGTGACGCCTAAGGCCATTCTCAGCTGTGGGAGACCCCTATAAGTGAAGCAGGGAGGGTTTTTTTTTTTTTTTTTCTTTTTTGACAGGAGATCCTGAATCAGGGCAGGGGAGTGACTGGCCCCAGGTTCCAGGCTCATCCCAGGGTGATCAGGAAGCCAGGGACAGGTCCAGTTCCTGGGGCTCTGCAGGGTCAAAGGTGCCCCTCTCCGGACCACAGAGGCCTGTGCTGAGTTCAGAAAAGCATTCTGGGCTGCTTGAGGCAGAACTGAGCCGGGAACCCTGAGACATGCTCTCCTCTCACCCCTACTTTCTTGAACCCTGATCTCCCTTCCCCACCATGCATCCCCCACCCCCTGGCCCCCACCTTCTGGTCTCAGCCAAGCATCCTCTCACACTCTACCTTTGGCATCAAACCAAAACCCCAGTTGCCATGGAGTCAGTTCCAACGCATGGCGACCACGTGTGCAGAGCAGACCTACTCTATAGGGTTTTCATGGCTGTAAGCTTTTGGAACTAGATTTTCATCCGTGGTCCCTCTGAATGGGTTTGAACCACCAACCCTTCGGTTAGTAGTCTATTGTTTAACTGTTGGTGCCTCTCAGGGACTCCTCTTTGGACACCAGGAGTTGATACTGATTGAGCGTTTTTTCCCCAAGGGCGGGCACATCTGGTTGGAAAAAAGCCAGGGTCTCTGGTCAGGCAGTGTGTTCGGCAAGCTGGAGGCATCTATCACTCGTTCATTTGTTCATTCACTCATTCACTCTACCCTCCCGGTAGGAAGAGCTGTTGTTAACACCATATCGCTGCCTGGGTTCCCAGTCCCCTGGGCTGAGGACTTCCCCTAGGGGTCCCTGGGCTGGGAAGAAGCCCTCAAGATCCCGGGATGGGGAGAAAAGTCCAGCTATCTGAGGACTCCATAAACGGGAGAGGAGAGGGCGAGGAGGGGTCTGGTCCCGGGGTTCCTGCATTCCTGCGCTCAGGACCTCACTTCTTCATTCTTTGGGCCTCTTCCAATGCTGTGTGGCCCCGTTTTGCTGTATCCCCTCTTCCCAACACAGACATAGACACTAGGCCACAAGGCTCCTCCGTCTGGAAAAGGGAGCAGTGCTTACTTGATTCAAGTGCCGGGAGGAGCCAGGCCCCAAGGTTCCAGATCCGGCTCCAGCTCCTGCCTGTGTGACCTGTGACTAAGGCCCCAGGTCGGCATTCAGAGCTGGGAGGGCCCAATCTTGTCACCAAAGGAGGTGTCATATCTTGTGGTGGGAGACTGAAGAAGTTTGGGCAGCCAGACAGAGGAAGATGTGGGATGTGGGGCGGGGTGGTCCTCCCCTTTAACCCGTTTCGTTCCCTCCCTTGGGCTTGTGCCCCACCAGGCCAGGAGGTCAGTGTCATTTGGGTCAGTGCTGTATCTGTCCCTGGTGCCCTGCACAGTGCCTGCTCCAGTGTGGGCCACTTGAGGAATATTTGTTGAATGAATGAATGAATGAACTTTCCCATTCATTCCCTTGTCCATTCAGTTGTTCACCCTGCAGCTCCTGATGGGCACCCATTGAAGGCTGGAGGAGGGGCCTCAGGGGGCTCCGAGAGGATCCTGGGAGGCACTCATGGCTCCATGAGAGAGACACTGACCAGGGTACAGCCTGTGGGGAACCCAGTACAGAGCAGATGTGGGCAGCAAAGTCACTGGGGTTGTCAAGGTCAGGAGGGCCCGCTTGGGCCTAAGGGCACAAAGATGGGGGCTCAGGGCCTGGTTTGGGTCTCGTACTCCTTTGGGAGTATCAGTAATTCATTCATTCCTTTTTGTTGCCAAATGATATTTCATCGGATGGATAGACAGCATTTTATTTATCCATTCATCAGTTGATGGTCGTCTGGGTGATGTTGGTGTCGTTAGGTGCCATCGAGTCGTCTCCGACTCACAGTGACCCTGTGTACAGCAGATTGAATCACTGCCCGGCCCTGTGTCAGCTCCACGATCCTTGCTATACCCGAGCCCTTCATTGTAGCCACTGTGTCAATCCAGCTGGTTAAGGGCCTTCCCCTTTTCCGTTGGTGCTCCACTACACTAGGCATGATATCCTTCTCCATCCATCTGGACGGTTTCGACTTTTTTGGCTCTGTGGAACGGAGCTTGAGTGGAATGGCATTTAGTGGGGCACAAAAGGGGTGCTGCCTGGCACAGAAGAGGTGTCCAGATGTTTGGTCCTGCATCCTCTAACGTGGAGCAGAGTCTAGAGTCATAGAGTTAGGGAGTTGAGTTCAAATCCTGTCCTCACCATTCTGACTGGGCCTGGGGCAAATCTCTCACCCTCTTGGACCCTCCCTCATCTGTAAAAGGGGGTGATAAAGGCACCCCTTCACTGGCGTGGCAAGCGGATTTATGAAGTGCGCCTCTGGTATGGTAAGATCTTGACAGCCAGCAGCTGTTTTTAGAAACTTTTAAAAATAACAGTTTTCCACCAACTGATTCCAAAAGCCATGGCCACCCTGTGTGCAGAGTAGGTCCGCAGGCTGTAAGGTTTTCAAGGCTGTCGGTGTTCAGCGGCAGTTCACAAGGCTTTTCTTCCAAAGTGCCTCCGGGTGGGTTTGAACTGCTAACCTTTACACTCAGTAGGCCAAAACCAAACCAAACCAAACCAAACCAAGCCAAACGCGCTGCCTTCCAGTTGGATCTGACTCATAGCGACCCCTCCTTGTGTTTCTGAGACAGTATCACTACGGAAGTAGGTTGCCCATCCTTCCTTCTGAGGAGTGGCTGGTGGGTTTGAACCACCAGCCTTCTGGTTAGCAGTCAAATGCCTTAGGCGCCAAGGCTTAACAATTCACTCCACCTGGGGACTCCTTGACTTGGCAACAACAGCGATTCCAGGCCATTTCATGTCCCCAGAACACCCCTGCCCATAGCAGTCACTCTCCATTCCCTGCTCCTCCTGGCCCCGCAAACCACTACCCCACTTCCTCTCTATAGATTTCCTTGTTCTGACATTTCTTATGAATGGAATAATGCGATATGTGGACTTTTGTGACTGGCTTCTTTCCCTCAGCGTGTTTTCAGGGTTCATCCATGTTGTAACATCTATCAGTACTTTATTCCTTTCAGTGGCTGAACTGTATTTCCTTGGATGGACGTTTCATTTATCCATTCATAAGTTGAAGGTCATCTGGAAGGTTTCGACTTTGGGGCCATTGGGAATAACACGGCTGAACATGCAGGTCCAGGTTTTTGCGGGGCGTGTTTCCAGTTCTCTTGAGTAGGTACCTGGCAGCAGAACCAATCTATGTTCAGCATTTTAAACAGCTGCCAGTCTGCGTTCCCTTCCCAGGCGTGTGGCCCACCTGCCGTTCCACCAGCGGTGTGAGGGCTCCAGCTTCCCCACTTCCTCACCAACACTTGTTATTGTCTGCCTTTTTAATTTCGAGGGATTAATATTTTTAGCCTCCTTGCCCTCTCCCTTTTTAGGCCTGGAAAGGATTTCTAGGGGTAGGGGGCATGTGAGGATGAGGCTCCCTCCCCCATCCCCCTGAACCCTGAAGGCTCAAGTCAGGACCCCGGTACACGCCTTCCTTGGGGCGCGCTCTTGGGCGATTGTAGGGATATACGTAGGAGTGAGAAACGGAGAGGTGGACCCGGCGGTTCCCATCAGCGGGCTGGCCCCAGGCGGGGGATCCCCGGACACGCAGCCCTTTCCCGTCTCGCTCCGCCCTGAGACGTGGGCAAGGCGAAGGCCCGCCCCTTCCTGGGAGCCCGCCCCGCCCCGACTCCGCCCCCAGGGGCGCGCCCTCCGCGGGGGGCTGAGACCTGGGCCGTGGGGGCGGGCGGAGGCCGGTGAAACGCCGACTCCCCCGCCTGGCCTTACGCGCGCGGCGCCCAGCCCTGCCCGCCGTCTCAGGGGCTTCCATTCATTTAGAGCCAGGAGGGCCCTGCGCCCCCCGCGGCCGTCGTAGCCTGGTGGAGGGAGGGTGCAGGCGGCCGAGCTGGAGCGAGGAGGGGACCACCGAGCTGAGGTCGCCCCGAGGGAGAAGGGCCGAGCTGGACAGTCCTGGGCCTAGCAGCGCCGTCCCCGGGCGGGGCCCTGGGGAGCCTGGGTGAAGTTTAGGGGGCTTCAGCGTGGAGGTGCCCAGAATAACACACTCTGGAGGGCGCAGAGTGAGAGCTGGGGGCCCCCGGGTCAAGGTGTGGATGCCCAGATTAGGTGGTGTCTAGGTGCGCAGGGTGACATTCTGGGGAGCGCAGAGTGAGGGTGCAGGCCCCCGGGTGAGTCTGGAACCTGCCATCGGGGTCGAG